TAAATATAATTTTTTATATGCTGTATTCTGTAATCAGCAGTCTCTCATCAGACGTAATTGAAGGAAATCAGATGAAATGCTCTGTGTGTCACCTGCTCCCAGACTCCTTCAGACATCAACATACTCCTTTTATCTCTGGTCACTGGCTAATGGCAGACCAGCATCCCCATCATTTCCTTTCTTTCTTATCAATGCTCAATCTGCTCCAGTGTCAGTGCTGGCTTGGCTGTCTTTGGTGAAAGTGTCTGGTTAATGTCTGTGGTGCACTCTTTACTTGAAGGCTGAATGGGGGTGTGGGGAAAAACGGACCTGTACACTGATTGCTCCTCAACATTTACATATATATGAAAAAGCGCAGACAAATGTCATTTAAACAGGGATTGTGCTTTCTGACAAAATAATAGACTCATGAAACAAAAAAAAAAACAAAACAAAAAAAAAAACTAACATTCACTACAATAGGAGCAAATCATATTTAGGAGTGGTTTAGATTCAAAGTCTCAGTTTACACCTCTGGTATTGTATTTTTGTTAATCTTCACAAGTGGTTTTCACTAAATACATGTGCAAATGAGGTCCTTAATTCTTATTTTTCTCTGCTTGTGAGCATATCCAGAGGTATTTTTTGTGGTCAAATGAATTTAAACAGCAATCAGGGCACATCGAATCCATGTTTTGAGAAAATGCACCAAAATAAGGTATCCATACCTCATTGCCATGTACTAAAGCCATCAGATTTGATTTTTATTTGTTGCCTTTTTACCCACTCATAGGCTGCATAACATGGGTTTGTTGAGTCGACTGTTCCATCATACAAGTGTGGCAAAATAAGAGGGAAGGGAAAATCCAAACACAATAGCCAAAAGGACTATTTGAACACACCGTAATACCAGGTGGTAATGTATCTTACTTAAAATGCATGTAAATATCAGCTGGATACAGAGGAATGTTGCAGTTATGATTGAATGGATTAATGGATTAAAAAATAATTTATTGTCAGGGATGTCAGTTTAAAAAACATTTTTTTTGTTTGATATTTTGTCTGATTCTCATGGTTTGGGGCTCACCCTACACATATTGTGACCCATTAGATCTGAAAATAATTCATAAAATATTCATGATGATATTGCATTATTGCACATTATTTATTTATAATTTTAATATATTATATTTTAAAACAAACATCTTTTAAACAAAAAATCCAATTGCTGTTCAAATATACTTTACTTATATTTATATTTTAGTTTTCTTTCATAATTTTTTTTTTCACATATTTTTCTTTCCCATCTTGTTCACATAAAACATCTGTAAGCTTTTATTTTGGCAGGCAAGTATACATCCATGATTTTACACAGTGTTACATTTATATGAAATGCAGCTTGATATACGGTGAATTTATTTGACATAGGGCCCTTTCATACACCCGTTGTAATAAGTCGCAAGATGTGTCTCACTGATGTGTTGCTATTTTCAGCCCAATGCTACCTTAATTTTTCCATGTTCCACCAGGTTTTTTTAAATAGCAAATCCATTTGTGCCACTTTTTGGACTCGTATGTGGACTCATATTTTTTTTGTTTAATTATGACAACTTTCTTTTGTATAATGTTATTTTTATTAGTAGTATAATTTATTATATGCATATTTATTTTTGTTTTATTAAAACAAGCTTAGATATGTTCACCTGTCTGGATTTCAACCATTTGGGGCATATAGGACATTTTGGATATAGCTCTGTTTTTTTACCACACTTCGTTATTATTGCTCATTTATTCATTTGCTGGTTTAAAAAAAGTTTTGAAACAAATCTTTGCGCTAAACAAACTAAATTCATTATTTAGGCTAATGGATGTCTGTGCGTACAACCCTGTTTCCTTATTCACAAAAAGAGAGAAATAGAAAGTGAAAGTAAAGGCCAAATTCTTTATCCTTGTGCTGCAGATGCTCTGTTTAACATTTTTTTTGTTTGTAAAGCGTTCAGTTTTTACACTTACAAAGTCCTCCATGTAAATAGCAAATGCGCCATGGCGCAATGCAACTGACTCTTAAAGGGAATGGGAGATGAGACTCTGACTAAAACGCAACTTTGTAAACTTGTCTTCTATGAATCACAGTGACCATGAGGTTTTTAAAGGAGTGGTGTTGCATTTGGTTTGATTTAACAACAGCAGACTTTCCTTGCTTGCTGACAGGAAACCATGCAGGCCTTTTACTACCCCCATCACCTCCTTTCCTCAGGAACCTTTGTTAATCTAGAGTGGCATAAGTGAAGTTATTCAAGTAAAACAGAGAGTCAGTAGAGACAAGCAGATTTGCACATATACAGTAACACTTGCAGACAAAAACATGTTGAGGATCTCCAGACAAGTCAATTATTCAGAGAGAGTCAAAGTAAATGCTTGTGCAGGAACCAAACTACTATCAAATTTGAGTGCGTCTCACAAGAGATTGTTTTTCTTTTTTGGTTTATAATTTAAATGTTCTAAGCCTTTTTTATACCAATTTAAAGTGTCCTCAAATGTCCCTTTTACTCACACAAAAAGTGTTTGCAGTTAAAGTTTGAATTCGTTGGAGGAAAACCGGTTGTAGAAATCTGCATGGTTTCAATTGTGCTGTAGTTTCCTCATTGTTCTTCTTTGTTAGTATAACTGGAACTAGATGATTTCAGGATTTGGATTTACATGAACAGCATTTAGGACACCTTAAAATAAAATGTTACCACAAGTAAAAAAAAAAAAAAAAAAAGAATAAAGATAGAAAAGTGTGTTACTAGTTGAAGGTCACAAGTTGACAAAAAGATCTGTTTATCCTAAAAAAAAAACATATCGTCATCTTATAATTATAAGGTTCTTTTTGACATTTTTGTCAAAATTGAGTTATACATATTCTTATTAAATGACAACTTATTCACATTATCGTATATTTTTATAAGATGTTTACATTTTAAACTTTTTTTTTAAACGGATGTTACACACATACTCTTTTCTATGATGCAAAGACTTTGAAGCTCAATATCTCAAAATTATTCAGAACACAGATACAACTTTATAATTCGAAGGTGACAATATATTGACATACATTATACAAATAGGAACTGTATAGAAGAAAATTTTGGCAGTTTTAAAACCTTGACCTTTCCAAACCACAGTATACCTTGAAACCGGTTGTCATCCCATGCCTATGTGGAAGTCCTAGTTAATGCATCTAGCTCTATAGAGATCTGGGTTTGTCTTGGCAAAGCTTATTTAAAGGTGGTGATCCTACATTTAGCAAGAAAAGACTGTCTGCCATGCTGAGATGACAGAAGGTAGAGGTAGAGTAAAATGTCATCAGCAAAGCAGTGATAGAAATGGTTTCTGAATAATAGATAGAGACAATAGTTGGTCTGACCACAGAGCCCTGAGACACACCAATGGATGTTGCGATTTGGACTTTTTACCCATCCAAGATGCACTGGAGGATTTACCTGAGAGAGGTAACGTGGGTTTAAAGTGTCACAGGTTCAGCAAGATGAGAACTGAAGGTTTAGGAGCTGCTTTTTCCAGTCTTTGAGCTCAACAACTGATGGCAAGGCATTACGGTACAATGGAGAGCTGCTGTCATTACATTTAAGATGTTTAAGGCAAAAGTTGTGTTTTATTAATTGAAAATTGTTGTAATTTTGATCAGATAATTCTTAATCAAAATAACATTTTATTTATTTACCTTTTATTCTTTTCAGGATTTTCAAATAAACAACCAAGACAATCAGACAAGCAAACAAACCCCAAGTGCTTCCAATTAAATAAAATGTACAAATGTATCTATTTAAAAAAAAAAAAAAAAAAAA